TTAGGCATTAATTATGCCTGTTGCTAGAACAGGTCAGGTTTTTCCCTTGGAGCACGTTCGTTTTTTTTTCTTCTTTTTCCTACGATGGCGTGCCAAACCCCACGGCAACCATGACTGATGATCCCCGCCCAGCCAACGCATATTCCTGGCGGTGGATGCACTTTTTGTCATTTTTGGTTTTTGTTCTGTATACTGGTTTCCAGTGCTATTTTCACTTGTTTTAATTAACTGAATGTCAGACGATTTGAGTTTGCATTGTTTTAAAGGGTCTGATTTTTAGGTTGAAATTTAAAGTCAGTGCATTGTGGGAAAAGGGTGAATTATTTTGCGAAAGTGGAATATTGTGTTATCTTCTGTCTATCTTGTTTAAACGTATGGTTTATTTTTCTCTTTCATATAAAACTGTTGCCCAATTTTCTGCTGCGTATAGGCTCATGTGCATATCGATACTCACTCCGACCTTTGAAGCCGAGCCTATTACCCTGGTCCAAGGCGCATAGTAGATAACAATCTCGTAATAGACCTAGTGGAGATTAGTGATGGGTCGTTCTTGAACGATTCGTTCATTTTGAACGAATCTTTAATGTGATTCTAGAAGAACGAGTCGTCTCCTGGGAGTGATTCGTTCAGTCGCGGATGCGCATTTGCACAACTTCCTATAGTTTCNTTCGTTCATTTTGAACGAATCTTTAATGTGATTCTAGAAGAACGAGTCGTCTCCTGGGAGTGATTCGTTCAGTCGCGGATGCGCATTTGCGCAACTTCCTATAGTTTCTGTATTGGAATTATTGATTCACCTGTTTCCAGTCTTCGGGTTTTTCGAGTCGTTCGTTCATCACGTGACAGCCCCATAAGCTTAACCTAGTATGCAGTCTGAGCCAGAAACAGAATTGAGTAGTTCATCTCTCGAGTCTTCCGGTTTGAGTCGTTCGTTCATGACGTGACAGCCCCATAAGCTTGGGATGTGTTTATTTTTGTTAGTTTTTCAGGTTTTTTGACAAATGAAGGCCCTTTTTAGTAGGCCAGTGTCTGGTCAAAAGTGTGAACTACAGAGGAAAATAAACTGTACTGATTGTACCATTCTCTTTTTTCCAGTTACTTTGGCAATATTGTCTTTTTATTCATTTTTAATAGTAATTTAAATTACATTTCCACAGCTAGTTTTGGCAATAGTTGTAATTGTCGTGAAAAATAACCCAGTACCATGCATTGATCACTAATTGCTATTCTGTTATTGCTAACAGCATTGTAAGGAACTGTGGTTTTGATACACATTTCACATAAGTAATGATATCTCAGCAACAACTCAAAAACCACATTTTCTGGAGATGTTCATGACATTATGAGCTAACTTTAGTAAAAAACATCAATTTTGGAATAGGTTTTTTTTGTTATTGATTTTTAAATATTTTAACCAGTTATTACATAGTAATTATTAATATGGGGATGGCATATTTATTCAATCTATAGAGCTGGTCAATAGCTTTAAAACGACATGAGAACCATTTCTGTACAGCTTATACAGTGGTATCTCAGAATTCAAACTCAATCCGTTCAAAACTCGGGTTCGAATCCCAAAAAGTTTGAATTCTGATAGAATTTTCCCCATAAGAAATTTTTTTAACACTTAAACACAAAATGAACAGGATAAAACAAGAATTGCGTCCATGTACTGTGTGGGCCCTCCCGGTCTTTTGTGCACTAGTGAGTTGGGGAACGTCTTCTAATGTTGAACCTCCCGTTGCCGCATTCAGGAACGGGTGGATTCCCCTAGATAGCGGCGTGCTGCGGCCGGGCGGCCAGGGTTACTGCAACCAAAAGGGGGTGCCACTGTTTTCCCCGTTTTTAAAGTTTTATTTTGGTTCCTTGCATTTGTTCCCTGAGTTCTGGTTGCGCATACCGAGTAGTAGTATTTACCTCTTTTACATGTGTAGCTGGTCGAATTGTTATATAGGTTAGTGCAATTTAGTGAGTTATATAGGTTAGTGCAATTTCCTATTGTAGCTAACCGGTTACCTTGATGCTTAGCATCGGGTAAAACTTACGGTATTTGGGCTTTTGCAATCCTTCTGCAACAATCAATGGCCATCAGTTAAGTGCAATTACTACCATCGGATGTGTACTACTTACTTCACCACACTCTTAAAACAAATGTGTTAAAAACAACACAATATGTGTTATTTTTTAACACATTTGTGAGTGTGTTCAGGAACAACACGTGTAACATTTAACACAGTCTATGTGTTTATCAATATACACAAGTGATGTGTTGATTTTACTTACACACTGATGTATTACTATTCATATTCATATAACCACATATGAGCAGTTAGTCTTCATACCAATAATATACAATTACATGTTTTGACATTTAAAAGTTTTATTTTATTTTAACATATAAAAAACAACATGCAGTGTCATATATAATTGAAATAAGAAAAACACCTGATAGCCTGAGTTGCGTGTGTTTTTTTTTTTTTTTTTTTAATATGGGCAGTATGGTTCCCTGAGATGCTTCAGTGTTGTTCATCACCATCTCTAACACACAGCCTCACAAACTATCATCGGTTGGTCAGGTAGGTCATGATCCACAGTGGGGCTTTTTAAACTCTATAGTAAATTTCTGAAACTCAGAGATAGGTAGACTGTCCCAGAAACTTGAATACATGCCTGTATACTTGAAACACAAAAGAACTTTATTTGTAGAGTGCACAGGAAACTGAGGGAGGCACTCAGGAGTAGGGCGTCATTTCACTTACAGCCTGACTACAGGACCCGGTGTAGAAAAAAAGAGGCTTGCAGTTAACATGGTATTCACCACAGTCCACAGTAGGAGGACTACACTAATATTCAGTATACCCCAGATTGATCCATGCAAAACAACATGACAAGCTTAAGATACAGAATGGTATCAGAGATGGAAAAGGACACTATTGTGAATAGCACATCTTTACCTCAACCACTGTGACCAACTCGACCAGGCCAAGATGCTGATGGGTTTGTCGTCGACCTGGTCAAGAGCTGGTGACCTGAATGCTGCTCTGCATTTCATCCTCCCATGAAGGCTCAACTGCAAGAAAACATGGGGTTGCTTGTTTTCAACTTATTGAGATGCACAATCCGGGTCCTTGAGGAAAAGTAATTAATCGCCCACAGGTTCACAATGCAACTCATTTCCACATTTATGACAGTTCTGCAGGTCGGGGTAAAGAGGAGGCGTGTGCCAGAGTGTCGCAAGAGCATTACCTTATGATATATATGAGAATAAGCTTTATATACACAAGCGATAGCATAAACATTAACCATATGTCTGGTTAGTATGGTAGTTTATGTGGTTAAATAAACTAGCAGTGCCAGAAATCGTTCATCTTAATATGGTAGACTAATGCAAAACTAGCTAGGGATATGAATTTTACTTCTAGTTTAGTTTAAGTTATGGCTCGCCTGTTCATCTCATGTGGCTTTCTAGCGGTGTTTATGCTAAATATCTTTTAAAATATTCGTCTCGCCGATATGAGACGGAAGTCAGTATTAATTTATAATATGCAACTATGGAATATTATTTAGCACTTCATAACATATAGAGAATGTAATCATTAGGACTCTATAAGAAGCTGATGTCAACTGTGCAGAGAGTGACTTTGTAACCTTAAGAGAATGCAGACCAATTACTGCTGTGCACATCTGTTAGCTATTTTGTTAGCCTTTGATGTATGAAGATGTACTTTATTAGTGCTGCAGCTTATCACTATGTTGAAGGACAAATATATTATTAACCATCTAGCCAGACAATGTGCAACAAGCTGAAGTTGCCACGGTTTGCTAGTGAAGGAAGGGATTTGCCTGAGTTCACCAAAAGTTCACAGCTGGGTATTTAAAAAAACCAACTAGAGATGGTCACGTCACCCTTATGTTCAGCCGAGGGACCAAACAGTAAAAGAGATGATTGTCACCTTATCACCTAGGGGTGTGGATCAAGGGAGAAAACAACGATGGTGAATGGTTGAGGGAATGATGATGCGTAATGTTGGGAACAACAGAAGTGCCTCAACAACACTGTCGGTGTGACACTTGTCTCTGAGTAGCAGAGTACTGGCAACTTGTGAGAAGTGGTGGTACAATAAAGAATAAAATATAGCAGTGACGGTACTGCTTAATTTTTATTACGTATATAACTGCGTATATGATCCCGCATTTGCTCTTGCGACATCCCGGCACATGCTTCCACTTTACCCCGACCTCGTAAAGGACCCGGATTGTGTGTCTCAATAAGCTAAAATTGCAAGCTAAAATTTGCAAACTGAATTCAGATTTAACTCATAAATTCAGATTCAAACTAGTACATTCAACTCATAAATTCAGATTCAACTTATAAATACAGATTCAGACCAGCAAGTCATCCACATCCCAATAGTTTGCAAGTGTCCCAACCTTTGTGAAGAACTTGTGGCGACGGATCTTCTGCAATGAAGGGCGATCCTCTGGATTTATTTGGAATATTTTTCCAAGCAGTTTTCCAGCTGCTTCAGATAGGTTTTGGGGAACAATATATTTCGCTTCTTTTATATTTTCCACCATCTCCAAAAAATCGTCATAATCAAAGGCGTTTCCCCCAACCAGAAGCTGGTACCTGTAGTAAGAAAGGCAGCAAAGGGGTTTGAGGTCTTTCACATTTGACATAAAAACACTGCGCTCATGCACATTTCAGGTGTTGCACATTCTTGGCCCCGTGTGTGACCATCAAGGATGAGCATGAGACCAGCATTAACTGTATCCAATGAAAGAAGAGACACAATGCTAAATTCCTTTCAGCTGTGTGCCAGTATTCATTTTTCTTTTCTCTTTCAAGAAGAAAAAACATATTTATGCCTGTTTCAAGCGTGTCTTCTTAAAATGCTAAACAGATATTAGTAGCCATGCCTATCTTTGGCCTGGAGGAGGGTTGATAGGGTGTACGTACATGACACAGCCCAGTGCCCAGACTTCTGCTTCAGTTCCACATCCCTCCCGTTTCCACACTTCTGGAGCCATATAGCATGGTGTTCCACAAACTTCTCTACAACACACACAAATGAAAATTGTTAAGCGCCCATGTGCTTTAGCTTGCTGTATAAACGTTTTGAAAGCTTTGCCGGGGATTCTGCAAAAAACACCTACTTGTTCCTCGGCTCCAGCTTGGTCGCCAGTCCAAAATCGCCAATTTTTAACTCAATTTATTTTTAAGTAACAAAATGATCTGGAAGGTAAACGAATTTGCATTAAGTATAGACTCAAATACTTTGCCAAACTGCAGACTTTACCAAATTGCAAAATTAACACTACACTGAAACCCAGACGACCTACACTAACAATGCAATGCGAAATGCCAGCATTATTATACAGAGAATTGAGTAAAGCATGTGTGCATGTACACATACCCAACTTGATGTCCCTGTGGACATAACCTTGGCGGTGGATGTATTTCAACCCCGAAATCAGCTGTCGCATATAATAGCAGACTTCGGGGTCAGTCAAAGTTCCTCGACTTTTTAGGATGTCGCCAAGTGTCTGGACTGAGAGAAACAGTGGTAGCCTGATCCATCACAAAGCCTTAGCCTTAATAAAATGTCTATAAAATTCAGGGACTCACCTGCCTACTGCACAACTCCATGAAAATATACATGAACTGGTCATCTTCAAAAGAGTGAGAGAAGCCCACCACATTCTTGTGCAGCAGTTTCTTCAAAATCTCTACTTCTTGGTACACCTGAGTGAAATGTCAAACACACCATCTAATCAAGTATAAGGGAAATGCAGATGAACAGCAAAGATGGATGACATTAAGCACAATCCATACCACATACCTCTTCCAGTTCACAGGAATACAGAGGTATGACCTTCATGGCAAAGCTGTCACCGCTAACAAGGTCTGTCACCTTGTAGCACTTGCCGAAAGCACCCTAAAAAAACATTTCAACATGTTACCGATAAAAGAAATTCTGCCGTGGCTATTTCTGATTGACCCTTTTCAAGCATCTCCTCTACGCCGAAAAAGATAAACTGCAATCACTTTCAACAAGCACTTTGTGGTGCACACCTGTCCCAAAAGCTCATCTCTGCTGTAAGACCTCGAAGTGTTGGGATCGATCACAATCTCAGCCACTTCGGGTTGCATCTGGTCATGGGCGGATTCTGTTTAAGCAGAAAAAATAAAAAATCTCATAAAAAACGGTAAAATGACTGGCAGCAGCGGCTGCCAAACAAAAACCGTGAAATTACAGTAAAATGTTTTATTTCAAATGAAGTGCAAAAACATTAAATTTACAAAAAATGTCCTTTATCCTTTTGCATAAAAACACTTATTTTATAGTTTTTCTTAATATTACGATCAAATACCTTAATTAAAAGGGCAATTCCAAAAGTCCAACAAATACTGTTATTTTAGTTTTTCTTAATATTTTCTTAATATTATTGTGATTAAATATCTTAATTAAAATGGCAGTTCTATAAGTTCAACAGTTAAATATTGCTATTTTACAGATATCTCCTAAATTCTTGCAATAAATAAAATAAAAAGTTCAGCAGAGAAATACATTTCATTACAGGTTTTTTTTTTTTTTTTTTTACAAATACAGTGGTACCTCAGTTCTCAAACTCATTAGAACTCGAATTTCTTAAAAGTCGAACCAACCAGTTAGAAAAAAAAATACCTAGCGTTCGATCTGAATCTCAGAATTCAAACCGTGAACGCTGACCTAAGATAACTTGTTCGCGCTGGAAAATGAGTCACGCGGCATGTCTCTCAGCGGAAACAAAAGGTAAAGCTTCAGTCTCAGCCTCGCATTCGCTATCTGAATACATATATTTAGACAGTAAAAATACATTTAGACAATGATAGACAGTAACAGTAATTATTATTATATAATAAAATACATTTAAAAGTAAAGATTTCTCATTAATTATTTTAATATTAATAATAAACCATTAATACATTTGATAATAATAATATTGTTGTGCCGAACAGGGACGGAATGGAGACAAAGGCGCAGACGTCAGGGTATCGGGGAATACGGGGTTTAATTACAGGTAAGGCAGGTAAAACGCAGACGGACAATACAATGACCGGACTGAGGAAGCAAGCTGAAACGCGGACGAAATACAGAGAACTAATGACAACAACCAGAAACAGCTGATCACACGGGGATTCCACACGGGGTTAACGAGGGGCGGCACACGGAAGGACAGACGATCGGGGCAGGACACATTGTTTGGATACATTTATTTTCTTACTTTACAAATTACTGTTTTGATAAATGTGCTTAGATGTGCTTAGTACAGCATATGCTCTTCTTGTTTTATCCGGTTCATTTTGTGATTAAATGCTAAAAAAAACATATTTAGGTGTAATTTTTTGGGGCCGGGAACCAATTAATTGGTTTTCCATTATTTCTTATGGGGAAAATTCGATCACTACTCGAAGTTTTTAGGATATGATCCGGAGTTCTGAACGGATTAAATTCGAGTTCTGAGGTACCATATTACTAACATTTTTTACAACAAACTGCATTCATAACTTTTTGACAATTATTTGTAAATGAGAATATTTATGTTTCATTGTCAAAGTGACATTTATTTTGTGCAAATGAACATGTCACAATTTCATTCAACAAAAAACAGAGGTCAACTGTGTTTTTCCCCAATACATGAGATTTTTTCAACTCCAACTTTGAATCTGACTTAATCAATGAACAATGATAAATTGACCAGGTAACATGGTGTTTTACTAAAACACTGTTAAGTCTTGTCTGCCAGTTAGTGAGAAACCTGGCATTCCATGTTGTCCACTAGTTTGCTGTATTCTGTATAGTTTGACACTGCCACTCTCAGTGACTCCTACAGATGTGAATCAGTTAGGCGTGTTCTGTGTTTATTTTATATGAAGTTCATATTCGAAAAGGCTGATTCACAGAGATAGGTGGATCCGAAAAGACAAGCAACCTTCATAGCTGCTGTGCAGACAGCTTTGTACTTATCTGTGTCCACTAGGTTCCAAAAGTTTGGACTGCTCAGGTGTGCTTTGAGGTGCAGGTAATTTTGCAAAGTTATTATTTCCATTTCTACCTGCCCTGCATCCAAGGTGAATGTTGTACTTAGGTTCTCAGCTGTGCCTATAATGTCCACTGACATGAAAGGATTTGAAATGAATGACACACATAGCTCAATTTGATCAAAATTACAAAACCTATTCTCAAACTCTTGCATCAGTCTATTAATCACTTGCAGGTATTTTTCTATAGCTTCATCAAAAGCCACAGATGCAGAAGCATTGTCACTTAGAACTTTTTGCACAGAGGAAAAGTGCACAACACGTTTTCTTTGTAAATGCGCAGAGAAAATTTTCATTTTAGCTTTAAAAGCTTTTACAGCACTTATGTTTGTGACAGTCTTACCGGTGCCTTGCAGCTCACAGTTCAAATTGTTCAGTTTTTCTGTGACGTCTGTTAAAAAGGCAAGATCAAGCAACCACTCAATGTCGTCCAATAGAGAGGTGTCCTCTTCTCTGCATGAACTCCTTTATTTCACCCAAAAGTGCCAAGAAACGTTTCAAAATCCGCCCTCTGCTGACCCATCGGATCTCTGTATGTAGCAACAGGTCTCCATATTCTGCGGACAGCTCCTCCAAAAGCACCTTGAATGTCCTGTGTTGCTTAGCTTTGGCGCGAATGCTGTTGATGATTTTTACAACGGGCGTCATTACATGGTCAAACCCGGTCACTTCGCGCATATCGCCTGCTGGTGAATGATACAGTGGTAGTGTACCGTGCGTTCACACCGCCGGCGGCGAGAGCGTCAAAGTGACCGGAAGTCATTCATTTTCAATGTGAGCCGGCGGCGAGCAGCGGCGCGGCGCGTCTTGGACGGCGAGAGCGTCAAGGAGAGTTGAAATCAGGTCAACTTTATGGTAATGAGCTATGACGCGGTTAGGCGGCAACCAATCGAAATGTAGAAGTCCTCCGCTTGAGCAGATTCCAGATAACGCAGTCCTGTAAACTTTGGTTCCGACCACATTAGTTCCCATGGCCGACCGCCATCAAGCAACAAAGAAGAAGATCCCATACAGAATGAAGGAGAGGTTAATAATTGCTGTGGCGGGTTTCCCAGTAATTTACGACGTGTCCCTGTTTGCATACAGGGACATAAACAAAAAAAATGATGCATGGACCAAGGTATCCGAGATTGTTGGGGTTCCTGGTGAGTTTCTAATGTGCATTAACGTTATGTATTTTCTGAAAATAAGCGGGAATTTCAAGCTGACTTTAGCGCCAGAGCATGCAAAGCTGTTACTGCTGCAGAATATTCTGACATATCAAAACATATTGGATAATTAATTAATTAATTAATGTTAAAGACCAAGACTAGTAAATACATGTTTCCTATAATACTGAAATTAGACTAGCACTTAACCATGAACATAAAAA